AGATATTTGTACAGAACTATTCAATTACACCTGACAGCCAATAGATTCCAAAAACCTACCGTAGATTAAAAAGGAAAACACCATTTGTCTTCCTGAAACAGAATCTGTTGCAAGAGTCAATCTGTAGCAGCAGTCAAATGGTAAATGCTCTCCCACAAACTGCCCTGCTAATCCACAACACATCGACATACAAGTAAGGAGCATGTAATCGAGAGCAGCAGACGTTACAAACTGTTAAACAAACCTTAACAACCCCCTTGACTCAACATATTGAGCAGGTCATTACTTCCGAAAGGCAAGCAGGCAAAATCAGGAGCAAATATGGCATGAAAGTAAATACATTCCTATTTAAAGCACTCGATGCCCTAAAGGCTGGTTTATTTCTGACACAAAGGAGCCTGATTGAAACCTTTACGGATACAAACCCCACACTTTAATGCAGCTACAAATAACAAGTCGAAGTTTATTCTCTGTCCAAATACAATACGCTGTGATCTGGGGCACAACAAAGGTTTCTAAACACCAGCAATCCCAAACCCAACTTTGGATCAGCTCTCAAAGGAAACTCTGCTCTTGTGCCCCAAGCTGGATGTTTGATGTGCCTTCCTCTGCTTTGATCACAGATTGAGATCTTGCACGAGTTGGTTAAGTCTATTCAAGTGAACAAGACTTCACGTTTTCGTGCTGGTGCTGCTCATCTGGGGCTGTTGTAATTTAAAGGCAGGACAACAAAATGCCAAAACCCCGTAAATTCAAGACAGGAGAAAAGTGAATTCATCAGTATTTCCCACTAGAAACTGGGACCAGGAATCCAGCTCTCCACAGAGTCCCTGCCTAGACATCCACACATCCCTGTTTGAACATCCCACACTGATTCCAACCTCTTTGTTTGCACTGAAGCTACACACGGTGAGCACGGAGAACTTAGAGGCATCTCTGGGTTGCACTTCCTCAAACAAAGGGTACTTTAGCACACAGTAAAATAAGCCAGAGGGGTCTGGCTGGAGTAATTCTGTATTAGCACCTCTAAAGAGTTACACAGGTTCCTAAGGAACTACATGCATCTGAAAGCAAAGGGAGGAAGAATAACCTCCATCACCCACCAGGAGCCACAAAGACGGACAACACAACAAAGCACAAAGCTGATTTTTAAAACAGTAGTTAGTATTTATTTGGTTTCAACAACTGGAAGTAACAGAGGAGGAAAACCCCACATGAATGACCCACAAGTTGTACACGAGAATGCAAACAACACCTGAGTTTACGTTTTGTCCCACTCCAATACTGTGAGAAACCTTTCTCCCCTCCTAAATTTCTGTTGAAATGGATTCTAATGACAACTATTTTAACTTCTCAAGCAGAAATCAGTCAGCTTTGCATATGGATGATGCCCTGGTTTGACAATATTCCTATGAATATGGTATTATCTGGAGAGGAAACTAAGGAAAAGAGAATGACAAAGGTTATTACAGTGTTCAAAATCACACCCATTCTCCCGGAAAGCTTCATGGACCATGTACAAAAATTCCATGTCAAACTGAACCCCTTCAACTCCCTCTTGGGGCTGTTGACCGCTGGGTAAAATGTATTCCCTCAACAGGCAGTGCCAGTGGAAGTGGTTGGCTCCAATGAACCACTACCTAAAAATAACATATTAGCCGGTTTGCCCAAAGAAAAGGGCTCTGTGTACCATGTAATCACTTGGCCAGCAAGCTTCATAGGAATTGCTTCTATAAACAGTTGCAGTTGCAAGAGGGTAAACAGGAAAAGCCAAACTTAGACATATAAAAAAGTAGGCAATGTACTATTCTGGAAGCGTGGAAGAATCGTCCTTCAGGGGAGCCCAGCACCCCAGAAGGAGAACAAGGACATGAACTGACCAGCTCGTTTGCTATATGAATATTAGAAGTCTCATTCTCTTCATTATACTTGGCAAAAGCAGCTAAAACCAGTCAGCTAAAGCCTTTGAGACTTTTGTAGCTGTGGTGTAACCATCCTGAACAATGGTACCAAAGTTCAGTACCACAAGTGACGTAAGACACACGTTCTGAAGCCAAGGAGCTCAGGAGGAGAAGCTGGAAACCAGCATGGAATAACCTGGTTTTTACAGACACAGCATGAAACCTGAACCTCTTAGAATGGCTTATCTGAAAGATCCCCAACAACAAACTGGGCAGGTTCAGTAAGGAATGGTTTCCCAAGACATACTCAGGGTTACCCAGGAGTAACTTACACGGTCTTTTTTGCAGCAAAACCCACATGTTCTTTAGGTTTCCAACAAGCACATGAACAACGTCAGTCTTGATCATACACCATGAACATTGGAGTTCTCAGAGCCCTTTGGCTGCAGGTTGTCTTCAACTGTGTTACCCAAATGGCAAGACACTTAAATTTCCCCTCCATATTTTAAATGAGTTGGAACTGATTAACTTTAGAAATGCTCCACTTGTGTTTGACTAAATCATAGTGATACAACACACATCCCAGGTTTTGTTTTCCATCAGGAGAATGTTAAGTCATTTCACACTTCAAATGATCATTACAATATACAATGAATTAGGGAAGAAGCACGCAGGGTAAAGTGAAAACTTTGGGGTTCCCTCTTTTAACTTCTACAACAGTGTGAAGTCTGCAGAAGGAAAACTGAAGACTCAACATATACAGTGACCTGCAGGAGAGCAACATCCCCTTTAGACACAGCTCATCCCAGTTTCACCACGTATAATAAGTACGCTCCTCAGCTCTGTCCACTTCCAGTGTTTCCTCCAGAGAAGACAAATAAACCCGAGCGCTGCTCCTTGAGTCAGTTACTTACTGTAGTGCCTCACAAGTGCTCACAGACAACCCAGTGACAGCAGTTAAGGTTAAAACCACACTTTTTAAACTCCAGAGAAATTGAGCACTTCCAATTCTTGAAATGAGCGTTTCCTTTTCAAATCTGACAGATGAAACCTGTGCTGGTTTGGATTAAAAAAGAACTAAACCCTTTTTCCTTTCCCTGTGCTCCTGCCTGCTCCCCCCACCTTTTTTTTCTTAAATATAACCCAGGACTTTAAATGACTCAACATCCTCAAATTGTGTTTGAAGTAGAATGTGAAAAACACCTACAAAGCCAGCGCCAACCCAGACTGTGCCTTTAGATCTCCAGAACCTTCTTACCCCTCACTTTACTGTCGTTTTATACACTGAGAATTCTCATTAAACTTGATGTCCTATTGTATTCATACTGACCACTTAAAAGCAAGTGAGTCTTAGAGCAGAATGTCTTTTTTAAGTGATTAAAATGAATTGATAACTGAGTTGGAATCAGATGAAAGTAAAGTATGTCCCTTAACTCCTTCCTCCTGTAGAAAGCCTTGTACCAAGCCACAGCCTCATCCATGCTCTGGTGTGAGAGCTACACACCAAGTGACCTGTCTTCTGTCTGCCTCATGCAATTCACTTCGCTCCCATAAAGATGAGATCACTGGAGCTGAGCTGATGAAACTGAAGTCATAGTGAGAGGAGAGGAACACAGGGACCTCAGACACAGGCTGGAAGGACCTCCTGAGTCACTGCACCCCCTGATGATCTATAATTCAGCCCCATTTCTAAAGGTACCAAGGTTTATCTTAAACCCTGTTGGTCTCCTGCCATCACCACGCCTGTTCCCAAACTCCACTCCTCAGCTGGTTGGGCAACCTCTAATTTCCAGCCCAAATTTGACCATCTTCTACTCATTTGTCTTTATGCCAAGTGGTGCTTCAGCTTCTAAGTAAAAGCTAAAATCCTGCAGTGAAAGAAAGATGATGGATAGAGGCAGCCCTGTCGTTACCAGCATTTAGCATGACAGAGATGACACCACTGACTCAGCTGTCACGAGACAGAGCTGAACCCACGGTGCATAAATCACCCTCCTGAGCTGCCCCCGTGCCGGTGCCAGCTGAGGGCACTCTTCCCACTGCACACAAGCCAGAGTCTGAACTGCTGCACAGGGTCTTTGCTGCTTCACTGCAACAAAGGCATTTTCAACCCAGAAGCCTTGTTTGAACCATCTAAATCTGATTTAACTGGAGATCATCCAGTAAGAAAAGCACTGTGGAAGGAAGAACACCGCATCAGCCGTTCCCCAAACACTTCAGCTGCAGAATAAGGTACAACAACTTTATCTTTTCTAAGTTTAGAAAGATCATTTAAAAAATAGTTTTACTGTTCAGACTGAGAAGAGTAAAGAGATACTGAGACGGCCATCACCTGGTGCAGTCATTTCCCTTTATCGCACAAACTCAAGTGACCAGTTGGCCACTTGGATGGGGCCTGGAGCAGCCTGCTCTAGTGGAAGGTGTCCCTGCCCATGGCAGGGGCTTGGAGTTACATGGGCTTTAAGGTCCCTTCCAACCAAACCAGCCTGGGATCCATTCTATGATCCTATAACCATTAAAAGTTACCTATCTTTTGCCACTGAGATAGTAAAAGCAAAATAAGTGAACTTTTAATCCTATTTAATTGGTTCATTTTCTCAGTATAGATTAAAATAGACCTTTTCTGCTGGAACCTAAGATGCACTTAGGTTAGTGCACTCAGTTAAGTTCCTAAAACTACAAAAAGTAAAGATCCTGCGATGTACAAACCCACAACTGTTTCTGCAGACCCAGGAGCAACAACAAGCCTGTCAACATCAGTCAGTTTGGGATTCAAATCCCTTGGAGCTCCTTCTTCTACCATCAGGACTCAAATACTTTCTGTTTTGTTTGTAAGGAACATCGTGCAAGTGAGTAAACCAGAGATTTGAGGACAAGCACTACACACACACACAAAACACTTTCTTCAGCAGTTAACATTCAAGTTGGATCAATACCGGGCACAGTTTCCAAATTATATGGAAAGTGGGATTAAGCATGATGTAAAACTGCAGATAAACATATCACTTGTAATGAAGAAGACAGTGCCCTGTGATTCCCTCTCGCAAACCACTTCACGTGAAGTGCCAATAAACAGAAAGTAGAGAAACACAAACTTACGAGAGAGGGAGTGGGTGCCTTTGGGTAGGTACTCGAAGAGCAGAGAGCTGTCCTCTCCCAGCATGTCAGCTTTCAGGGACAACAAGCTGTTCTTACTCATGAGAGCCGCGCGCAGGTTGGCCACGGTGGCAGCCTGCAGCACATCCTCCTTCTCGGGCGTCAGCGGCTGCGGGATGTAGGTGCCCTCCCCGGTGAGGAGCGCTTCCTCCACGCTGCCGTAGGGCTCCGGGCGCTCCACTCTGCTCTCAGAGCTGCTGGGCTCCGGCACCGTCACCTCAGCACCTGCATGGGGAGAGATGCTGTCAGAGAGGGAAAAGGATTCCCGAGATGTGGCACATCGCAACTTCAGCACCGCGCGCCACGGAGGGAGGGCAGAGAGAGGTGCACGACGTCCCCACGAGCAGTAACTGGAGAAAACATTCATTATTCACTTCGAACTATGATTTCAGGATATCTGCTAGTGCTGAAATTACATTCACGTGTTTAGGCGTGGAATTACAGAGTGGTTCAGGTCGGAAGGGACCACATCCAGCTCCAACCCCTGCCCCGGGCAGGGCCACCTTCCGCTAGAGCAGGTTGCTCCAAGCCCCTGTGTCCAACCTGGCCTTGAACACTGCCAGGGATGGGGCAGCCACAGCTTCTCTGGGCACCCTGTGCCAGCACCTCAGCACCCTCACAGGGAAGAGCTTCTGACCAAGAGCTCATCTCAATCTCTCCTCTGGCAGGTTCAAGCCATTCCCCTTGTCCTGTCCCTCCAGGCACTTGTCCAAAGCCCCTCTCCAGGTTTCTTAAAGATCCACTCCATGATGCTGTACTGTACCCCAGCATCTCTCACTGTTAAGTTTTTGCACTTCCTTTAAAACCAAAAACCTTTAAAAAACAAAAAGCCTCAAAGCAAACAATAAGGAAAAGCCAATCATTAGTTGAGTCCTCCTACACCCCGGAGATGGAATACCCCAGGCTGAGGGCTGCAAACGCAGCAGCAGCAACTATGTGAGCTATCAGAGATGTTCTCTCTTTAAAGCAAACCATTTTCCCTCCTCCACCTGTGTTTTGCTTCTTTAATCTCCCATCAGCAGTTTTAGTACATATCAGCTAAGCAGAGGGATTCAATTGTTTTGAGTTCTTACATATTTTGTCATCCCTCTGTTCCAGAGCGAGAAGCTGACAGGTATATAATATACATTTTTCTAGATGATAATGAAGTTTGGTTTAAAAACTACTGTTTCTGCAGAAAGGGAAGTGAGGAGACTTCAAAAAACTTACAGAAGGTGGCAGAGAAGGTCAATTCTAACCGGTTCGCGTGGTAACAGAACAGCTTTATCCATCACAGCTGTGACAATACCTCTGCTCCTCACAGCCTCCGTGGCAAATCCCAGCAAAGAGCTCGGGCCAGGAAGGGTGTCTGTCAGCAGCACGGTGCTGCCAAAGGAGCAGGAGGCAGTCAATCACCCCGTGTTTCCTCCCAGCCTCTTCCCCTGCCAGCTCCAGATGCTGATTGACAGTTGCCAGACCCGTTGCTGCCTGCTGCACACAAACACTAATTGCTAAAACACACGCAGATTAATTGTAACCACAACAAGACGGTAAATGCTCCTCAAAAGCCCAGAGTAGTGACAGGCAGTGAAATAGTGGCTTTAGAGCTTCCAGTATTTATAGCTGATGTAAGCTAATCAAACACACATTAAGGCAAAATAAATATCTACTTAGTCACGTAAGTACCGAAACACAGTGCCCCAAACCCCCAAAACTCACAAGTTCCTCATCTCAGTGCCTCCAAAACCACTTCTCACTTTTCTCCAGCACACAACTGCTTTTAACAAGACTGAGGGAAGAATTCTATGAATCAAAAGCTCCCGTCGCTTCCCACTAATCCAAACTGTTTACTACAGTGCTGCAGCCGTACGTAAACCAGTAGTAAATGAGCTTCTCTTTTGCCATTAGTCAAGCAAAGAGTCACGTGGAGGCCCCCAAGCTCCATCCAGCCTCTCCACAGCTCATTCCTCACCCTGCTGAGACAGTTGCAGTGACTGCCTGGGCTCCAGCCCCACTTGCAGGGAATCCTGCTTGGAGCAGGGAGCTGAGCAGGGATTAATGCTGCTCTGAACCACTGAGCTCATTAGTCTCTTTAGCAAAGAGTTATTTTGCAGTTATTCTATTACAACAGATGACTTTCCCAAACACAGCAGATTAGAGAGGCTTTATTAGCTTGCTGGCTTCAATATTTTGTTATTTTTATTTATTTTCAAATAAAACACCAGGCTGATTTTTTACAACGCTGGCAACAGTATTTGCACACATCTCAAACTCCAAAAGCCATGTTAAACCAGTGAAGTCCTTGCCTACACATGAAAGCCTAATGTAAAGGGAATACCAGAAACCTGACTGGAATCATAGACCACAGACTGGTTTGGGTCAAAGGGACCCTAAAGCTCCTCCAGTTCCAACCCCTGACCCGGGCAGGGACACCTTCCACTAGAGCAGGTTGCTCCAAGCCCCTGTGTCCAACCTGCCCTTGAACACTGCCAGGGATGGGGCAGCCCCAGCTCCTCTGGGCACCCTGTGCCAGCGCCTCAGCACCCTCACAGGGAAGAGCTTCTGCCCAAGAGCTCATCTCAATCTCCCCTCTGGCAGGTTCAAGCCATTCCCCTTGTCCTGTCCCTCCAGGCCCTTGTCCAAAGCCCCTCTCCAGGTTCCCTGGGGCCCCTTTAGGCACTGGAGCTGCTCTAAGGTGTCCCCTTCAGGAGCCTTCTCTTCTCCAGCTGCCCCAGCCCAGCTCTCTCAGCCTGGCTCCAGAGCAGAGCTGCTCCAGCCCTCGCAGCAGCTCCGTGGCCTCCTCTGGATTTGCTCCAGCAGCTCCACGTCCCTCTTGTGTCAGGGGCTGCACAATTTAAGCCTTAAGGGGCTTCAGGAGAATGATCACCACCATCCCACCAGCATCCTCTCAACCCAACATCAGTGGCATTGTCAACTAAACCAGTCAAAGCCTCCATCCGCCTGCGTTTGTGGACACTTGCCAAAGCTTGGGGTGACAGCAAGATCCCACAACTCTCTGGAGCTAATTAAAGAAACACTGGATAATCTTCTATCCTCCTCTTATGTAGAAAGCACACTTGACAGTCATAAACAGTAGAACCCCCAGCTAAGTCCACCAAATACTTTCCCTCCCACAGGCAAACACGAAGCAGAGCTGGCAAGTCATGCTGCTCGTTTTAACACATGTAGGAAGAAAACACATAAAAACCCCACAGCAAAGCTTGTGTGGAGAGAATGTTCTCTCTTGACATAAATGTGTATCTGGAGCTTTGGACAAGGGCCTGTAGGGACAAGACAAGGGGCTTGGAGCAACCTGCTTAGTGGAAGGTGTCCCTGCTCACGGCAGGGGTTGGAAGTGGACGAGCTTTAAGGTCCCTTCTAACCCAAACCACCCCATCATTTTATGAACATCACCACTTCTCCCACCCCAAATCCTCATTCCTGCACCCTCCCCTGCTACTCCCTCAGCTGTACCATGACTACGTGTGTAGCTGTGAGGTGAACTCGAGACAGGAACTTAATACGTTATAAATAAACTGGTTTGGTAAGAAAAGGTTATATTTAAAGCCCGAGCAGTTCCCACTCCGGATCAGACATTTGCACCGGAACAACTGGAGGAGAGCGTGGGGGGCACAATTCAGTACCAAGGGAAAGTGGGAGCCACTTAAAACTCTGCTTTTCATTCAAGGACACCGCCAAACCATGACCTGAGCTGAACTCATCAAGAGAAAACTCGGGTGAAATCAAAGACTTCAGTTTCTGAGGTGGTTCTACCTGTTTGTGTCAAGTACCTATAGAGCTCTGCCTGAGAGGAGATTTCAGCTGTCATTTCAAGGATGATGTTTCTCCTGTAATTTGAGGAAGATCTGGCTTCATCTCCTTCTGCGCAAAAGACAATGAAGTTTTAAACTTGCAGAGAAAAAAGAACAAAAAGCTTTAATTTCTTGGTGTTTATTTCCTGGGAATAAAAGAAAAAGGAGCACTTGGGCTGGTAGGAAATGACAATCTCTTACCAGTTGCTAAATATAACCCTTGCATCTTCTATTGCAGATACCCCCTTCCTTTCTAACAGAAATCCTTCTAAAGTGTTTCACAACTCCCTGTTTGTTCAGCAAACGCAGTGTTCTCCCACGCTCTCATGTTTACACACAGACGTGATGCCATGAGCTGCGCTGGGTTTGATCAGCACTGGTTTACAAACATAACAGTATACACGTGGCTAGAATAAACGTGCACAGCATTCAGCATAAGCTCCAGTCTCACAACCCAGGAAGCTATCAGGCAAAGAGAGCTGTTTAACCACAACATATATGATCCTTAAGAACTGCCTAAAAGACTTAAAGTTCTTCCCTGTGAGGGTGCTGAGGCGCTGGCACAGGGTGCCCAGAGAAGCTGTGGCTGCCCCATCCCTGGCAGTGTTCAAGGCCAGGTTGGACACAGGGGCTTGGAGCAACCTGCTCTAGTGGAAGGTGTCCCTGCCCGTGGCAGGGGTTGGAAATGGGTGAGCTTTAAGGTCCCTTCCAACACAAACCACTCTGTGACTCTATGGTATGTTCATCATAAGTGTTTTACCAACAGAAACATCCTCCTCACCACCTCTAGAATGCTATTTCTGAAATAAACCAGGCTGTTCTACACAAATACAACCCGGTTTTACATGGGTATTTCTGCAGTGCTATGTTACGAGCACAACTGTATCCCCATCAGTGTACAAATACCATCTGGAAAATTCCCTCCACTCCTCCAGGTATCTGAAAAAAAACCCCATATATAAATTTTTCTCTCTTTCCTGCGCTATTTGTTTTTGTAACTCTGAATCAAACTCTGCAGATGTTTTTCTGTGGTGTGTGTCAGCAAAAGGAGCTCCTGGCTCCAATCCCAGCCGTTCACTGCTGCTCTCCCACTGCTTGTTACTGACCCCAACTCAACTCTCTGCAGGGCTACAGAGTAAATCTGGTCAGAGAACTCATCTTCCCCAAAACATGACACTAAACACCCCATGAGAAATGGTTACATTGGATGAGTTCAGTTTGAAACTATTCTAAAATGGGATAACCAAGTGGTCCTTGCAGGAGCATTAGGAATGCCTGGGCAGTGCAGAAATACCTTAAGGCACACTTTATTCCCCCCAAAATGTGCAGGGAACCACACAATAGCATCAGACTATCACTTCAACAATACTAAGGTTGAGTCTAAGCTTAACCTCTTTAAGTCTGATACCTCCTGCAGTAAAAGGACTGATTCTA